ACTACCACTGCTACCAATCTCAAGTTGATCTTCCCTCTTCAACTCCGGTTCAGCATGGCACCAGGTACCCTTTATCCCATTATTTATCTTATGACAAATTCTCTATTAAACATCAAAGTTTTCTTGCTTCTATTACTACCATTGTTGAGCCTAATACTTTTGATGAAGCCACTAAATACCCTGAGTGGCGTAAAGCTATGCAAAGTGAACTTGCTGCCTTGGAAGCTAATCATACATGGACCCTCATGGCCTTGCCTGCTCATAAAAAAGCCATTGGCTGCAAATGGGTCTATAAAATAAAACGGCATTCTGATGGCACTATTGAACGATGCAAAGCTCGCCTCGTCGCCAAGGGATATACGCAAATGGAAGGGATTGATTATCATGAAACTTTTTCTCCTGTTGCCAAGCTTACCACTGTTCGTGTTTTATTATCTTTGGCCGCTGCCAAGGGTTGGTGTCTTCAACAATTAGACGTCAACAATGCCTTTCTTCATGGTGATTTACATGAAGAGGTTTACATGCAGCTCCCTCCAGGTTATCACGGCAAGGGGGGAAATATGGTGTGCCGTCTTAACAAATCACTTTATGGATTAAAGCAAGCTTCTCGGTGTTGGTTTGCAAAATTCTCCAAAGCATTACTTGATGCGGGATTTTCTCAATCTAAAGCAGATTACTCCCTTTTCTATCGTCACAAAGGGAAGTCATCAATTTTCTTGCTTGTATATGTTGACGATATTATTATTACAGGTACCGATGCTACTACTATATCAATTATCAAGAATTTGTTGCATCAACGTTTTCATTTAAAAGACCTTGGTGATTTAAAATACTTCCTTGGGATAGAAGTGTCTCGTTCTTCAAAGGGATTGTATTTGAGCCAACGGAAGTATGCACTTGACATTTTGAAAGACTCGGGTCTTATTGGTGAACGTCCTACTTTCTTCCCCATGGAACAAAATCTCAAGTTAAACAATGAAGATGGAGAACTATTACATAATCCAGAAACCTATAGAAGATTGGTGGGTCGCTTGATATATCTCACCATCACCAAGCCAGACATTGTTCATTACAGTTCATATTTTGAGCCAATTCATGCAAAGCCCCCATACAACTCATAAAGATGCTGCATATCGATTATTACGTTATTTGAAAGGGACTCCAGGCCAAGGGATTCTGTTATCATCTTCTAATAATTTTCAATTGAGAGCCTACTGTGATTCTAATGGGGCTAGCTGTCCAATGACAAGGAGGTCGACTACAGGTTACTTTGTACTTCTTGGAGAAAGTCCTATCTCATGGAAAACAAAGAAGCAAGATACTGTGTCACGCTCATCAGCTGAAGCAAAATATAGAGCGATGGCTATGGCAACTTGTGAACTCCAATGGTTACGATATTTACTTTATGATCTTGGTCTGTCACACACCACACCAAGCTTACTTTATTGTGACAACCAAGCTGCTTTATACATCGCAGCTAATCCAGTATATCATGAGCGCACCAAGCATATTGAGATCGATTGTCATGTTGTTCGAGAGAAGATTCAAAATGGTTCTTTACGTACTGCCTATATTCCTTCAAAGGAGCAATTTGCAGATGTCTTTACCAAGTCTTTAGGTAAAGATCAATTCCAACGACTCAAAAACAAGCTGGGTATTCTTGATCTCCATACTCCAGCTTGAGGGGGAATATTGAAGATATGGAAAGATTACAAAATATATTGTACATTATTTGTTACCTTGTATAGGAATAGTCAACTTCTCTGTTAAGGCTTGTACAAATTAGTGCCTTTAACTTAGGATTTAAATTACCTTCCTTAGGTAGTCTTATTGGCTTTATATATTGGCCTTCTTCTGTATTGCAAACACACAAATATACGAGATATTATTTTACACTCTTCCTCTTTTGTTTAACTTAAACTTTGTGAATTTTTTCCTTCCATTTTTACATGTCGTAGTAGGGTACCTTAATTAACATTGGGATTTATGAACTTTTTTTTTTATTTCTTCTCTATGTTGGAATATAAATTATTAACTTTTGAGTCTTTAATAGTGTAGATGATGAGATTAATATTCAACGATTTTAAAATATGAAATTTATGACAATTATGGTTGTAATGAATGAATAAATTATTAATCAATATGAAATGATATTATGAAGTGGGCTATACCAAGCAATTAGTATCGTATTAATTTATTAACCGATTCTTTATCCCCATTTTTGTTTTTGTTGTGTGCTGAAGGCTTATCAGCGTTGATAAAAAAGAACAAGAAGGATGGTGCACTCCATGGTTTTAGATTCTATTCCCAGGGGATTAGTATCTCACACTTGTTTTGTGTAGACAACTCTGTCATATTTTGCAATACTGATGAACAGGAGATTCATTGTCTGAAAAATATTCTAGTATGCTATGAGGCATGTTCTGGTCAATGCATTAACTTTGATAAGAGCTCCATCTTTTCTGGGAAGAAGTGTCCTGCGCGTGTACGCAAGAAGGTGAGGGATATATTTGGGTGCAGTAAAATGATGAGTTCGGGAAATATTTAGGGCTTAATGCTGATTTTGGTGCATCGAAACAACGTGTTTTTGAGGATGTTAGGAAGAAGATCAACGCCAAACTTATGGGATGGTCGAAACAATTTTTGTCACAGGCGGGGAAGGAAGTTTTGATCAAAGTTGGTGCCCTAGCCATGCCTAATTATGCCATGTCTTGTTTTAAGTTGCCCATCAATCTCTGTAAAGAGATTGAACGAGGGATTAGTAATTATTGGTGGAAGGGTCATAAGGATCATAAGGGTATCCATTAGGTTCGTTGGCAGGGTTTATGTTAGCTAAAGCAGGCTAGGGGAATGGGCTTCCGTGATCTAATGTGCTTTAACTTAGCTATGCTGGCAAAAATTGGATGGCGGGTCCTTATGTATCCGGATTCCCTACTGGCTAATATCCTGCGGAATAAGTATTTTCGTTCGACAGACTTTATGAATGCCAATTGTGGACGCGGAGTGTCGTGGGGATGGAAAGGTATTGTGCAAGGACGGCGAATTTTGGAGGCTGGCATGAGATGGCACATTTGTAATGGCAGAAAGGTTCACATATGTTAGGATTGCTAGGTACCTAAATCGTCGACTTTCCAAATTTACTCTAGACACCTAGATATGCCAGACCTGGTTCAGGGGCTTATTGACCCCGAGACTCAGACGTGGAAACGAGACTTAGTTATGCGATGTTTCAATGGTGAGGAGGCCCAAACGATTTTATTGTTACCTACTAGTAGGTGGGGCTGTGAAGATAAGATGATCTGGCATTTTACTGCGCATGGAGGCTACTCTATGCACTCTGGGTATGCTATCGCACTTGATTTGCGAAAGAATGGCGAATTAGGAAGGAAAGCCAAGGGCGAAGGTAGCAGTGATTGTGGACAAAAGAGCTTCTGGAAGAGCATCTGGAGGCTGCCAACACCTCCAAAACCTTGAGCTTTTATGTGGAGGGGCTTTCGGAATGCGCTGGTGGTGAAAGAAAATTTACGGCGCCAACGAGTGGATGTGGACAACACATGTGCTCTATGTGGTCAAGAAAGGGGATCCCAGGTGCATTTTTTTTTTTCAAATGCAAGTATGCTAGATTGTTTTGGTTTGCCAGTTCTTTGCAGCTTGATGTTTCACAAATTGAAGGAGCTGATTTTCGCACAAGTTAGGACAGCCTGTTAAGGAAGTATGGTTTGGTGGAGCATTGTAAAGAGATACTCCAGTGTGTTGTTTTTGGGTTATGGTGACTATGAAAGAGTAGGAATAGTGCTGTTTTTTTATGGGTGCATCTGGGATCTTGGAGACTATGTGGACCAATTTCACTCTCAAATGCAAGAGTACAGGGTTGCCCAGACGTCAACGAAACCATTGATTCACGAGTTGCCCCGACCACTTGAGCAACATGATCGGTCCAACTGCAAGTGGACTAAACCCGCATAAAGCAGGGTAAAGGCTAACTGTGATGGCGCATGGCTGAAGCAGATGCAAAAGGGTGGTATTGGGTGGGTAATCCGAGATGATTACGGGTTGGATGTTTCTAGCTGGCAGTATGGGTGGTTTACAGGGTAGCATGGCTTTGGTTATGGAAGCGAAAGCTATCAAAGAAGCTTTACTTACCTGCGTGAAGACTCAGCTGATGCATGTGGAAGTGGAGTCTGACTCGAGGCTCCTCATGCAAATGCTGAAAGGTGAAAGACCAATTGATGTTGCTGTGGAGGCCATTATATTTGATATTAAGACACTTTCTTGCCTTTTGCAGCAGGTGGTGTTTATGGATACTCCCCGATAATGTAATAAGGCAGCGCACCAAGTTGCATCCTTTGTCTCCAAAGTAGGAAGTAACAACGTATGGGACCAAGTGTGGCCTAAGTGGATTTTTGATTTCTTTTGTTTGGAAAAAAAACAAACAAACAAACTTATTAACCGGTTTGCGCTTGAGCACTCCTATTCGAATGATTTTTTAAAATTTTGTGAAGGGCCCCTTTAGTGTGAAATCCAGACTCCGTCATTATAAAAAGTAACTAATAGTATAGATAATTAATTTGGATACCAACTATTAATTAGTCTAGTGGTACTTCTCTCTCTAATATTGAAAAAGGTCACAAGTTCAAATCTTATCTCTGGTATTCATAAAAGAAAAAGATAGGTAATTTGAATTGGGACCTAATCTTGTGGTGTCTAGATATTGGAAGCCCAATACATCCTCAAGGCCTTTTTTCAACACTTCTCAAACCTCATAGTTTTTTTCTGCATCCTTAAAGCCCATAGTTAGTAATATAATGGATTAACTACACTTTAGTCCCTAGAGATTTAGTGTCAATATCGAAATGGGCCCTAAGGTTTCAATTCAATCAATTTCATACCCGACATTTCAAAGTATTACCAATTTACACCCGCCGTTACATTGATCGTCAAAGTCAAACGTTAAATGCTGACGTGGTAATCGTGGGACCCACCTCATAACCAAACATCAATTAGAAAGAGACCAATATGGGACCCACCCACTAACCAATATCAAAAATTAATTTCATATAAAATAATAAAATAAAATAAAATAACCTTAAGAGTTGCAGACCCTGACCAGAGTTGGAGAACAGTTTTACCTTCTGCATTCCCACTTTGGAAACAAAAGCATGAGACACATTCTCCAAGCTATCGTTCAGAACTTCAGTGATCGCAGCTGTGATCGCCTCCGCCTGCTTCGTCGGCACGCCTTTGGCCTCCAAACCCCTAACCAAAGCCAAAGTGTCCACGAGAAATGCGCGATTCCCTTTCGGTTTGACCAGTCCCGAAATCTGCCTGCTGAAGAGCCCATATCCATTGTTGCTCGTCGAAGAAGGCGAGTAGAGGTTTTGTCGGAAGCTGGCGTAGAGAAACGCGAAATTGGCACCGGTTTGAAGCATGTGCTTGCAGAGCGCCATGTATTTGTTTTCGATTTACAGAGGAAAATGTTTTGTTTGGGTAAAGTATTTGAAGTGAGAGAGGCGGCGAAAAAACGTGGTTGGATGGGTGGTGTAACCAAATCACCAAAACACAGAACACACTCAACCATCAAAACAAAACAAAATGACAGTAACCAAATCCTTTTTTTTTTTAAATTAAAAAAATATATATATCTGCATCTATCCATGGTGGGTCTGCATCTCTCCATCCTCTCCATCCTAGCTCTTTTTGCATCTATCCACATCTCCCATTTCCTGCACTGCCCTCCAACATTAATGGGTCGGTTCGATACTAGCTGTGGGAGAGGTTGTGGGTTTTTTTGCCCTGTCCATGGTGGAGATTTGGGTTGAGCTTGTTTTTAGTGGGAATTATATGGTTATGGAGATGGAGAGGATGGAAGCCAACGAAGTTGAGATTGAAGAGAAGGGGCTGGGGTCTGCAACTCTTAGGTTTTTTTTAAAGTTTATTTTATTTTATTTTATTATTTTATATAAAATTAATTTTTGATATTGGTTAGTGGGTGGGTCCCATATTGGTCTCTCTCTAACTGCTATTTGGTTATGAGGTGGGTCCCACGTCAGCATTTAACGTCTGACTTTGACGGTCAAGGTAACGGCGGGTGTAAATTGATAATACTTTGAAATGTCGGGTATGAAATTGATTGAATTGAAACCTTAGGGCCCATTTCGATACTGACACTAAACCTCCAGGGACTAAAGTGTAGTTAATCCTAATATAATTCAATAAAGATTTGTCTTTACACACAATTGTCTCCGGACACTTTTGTTTCTTTGGACACATATTTTCAACATTTTCTTAACATCCGAAACAAATTACTAATGTCCCAAGAATACCCATTTTTTAAGGGAGATTCACTATTATATTCAATATAGGTGCTCAAATTATTATTTTTTTTATATAAAAAAAAAACCTGCATGAAATGGACTTTAGAAACACACCCAAAGCTCATTTACAACATAACAAAGAGGCTTCGAACTTCCTACAAATTACAAAGCTGCCATCGTTTTCTTAAAACAATCCCAACCCTAAAACCTCATTTTAAAAAAACCCAAAAAACTCAATAGGGCATCAAAGTAATTTAATAATCACAATTAAATTGAATATGGCCAATTGTCATTTTTTGTTTTTTGTTTTTGGTTTGTTTATAGAAATTAAATAGTGGAGGGGTTATCTATATCACTAGTGCTAAAAATGGGTATATAACTAAATATCTCTTCTTATAATTACTAAACCATAACTCTTTTAGGTACCCATTTTTTCATTTTCACTTTCTCTACGCTCTACATTGAAATCTACAAGAAGAGTTCAAAGGATGAGCTAATCGTCATGTATGAGAATTTTGACTAGGAAAATGTTAGCGTTTAGTATGTTATTGCACCATTTTACTTCGATTTTCAGATTTGAAAGTTTCTGGATTCAGAACACGTGCAATGAATTAGAATCACGTAATTCGTAAATATGTTGTTGTTGACCGACCGCACAACTTGACGATATGCAGTTTTCTATGAATCATTGTGTGGCTATGATTCACCGTGCTGTGAATCCATAAATTTCCAAAGCCATTAACCAAAACAAATGGTGAAAAAGGACATGATGTAGGTAGTTAGAGAAATGGATGAGTTAGGGGTTAGGACATTAGAGACAGATATGAAGTGAGAGTGTGAGGGTTGGGTTTAATGATCTTTTAGAGGGTGTAGATGTATTGGTGTGGCAATTTTGTCACGCCTTGTGCTAGAAGGTTTTTCATATATGTATTTTTAGCTTACCATATAGATATGATGGCGGTGTGTGAGAGATTCAGTTGGGTTCTTCTCTACGTAAATTCCCAACTGGACTTAGAGAGTGATTCTCAGAAGTATGTGAATGCTTTGCATCGAAGATTGTAACCAGCTTTGACTCTATTTAATATGTTACCGTTTTCCCTTTTTTTATAAATAAAAAAAGTATACAAAGTTTATAACTTTGGGTAAACTTGTGATTTGCCCCCTCAATTTGTACCTAACTTTCAATTGACCCCCAATTTTTTATTTTATTTATATATATAGAAAATTAAAGATATGAAATTCTTCTTTTCATCAATTTCCTATTGCCGTCTAAATCCTCAACATTTCATTCACTTTGTCATTAAAATATAAGGAAAAATTGGTAATTTCATATGTTAAAAATAATGAAATATTGTAAAACAAAATAATATGAGATATAAGAGAGATTCTCCAATTAGTATTTAAGTTAAGAATTTGTTACATACTTCTAATCTCGGTTGGATTGAATTTAAGAGACTACCAACACATTTAATGAATACAATCCAACGGCAACACATTTAATGAATGCAATCCAACAGCCAATATTAGAAGTATGCAACCAATCATTAACATAAAATACTTATTGGAGAATCTTCCAAGATGTAAAATGAAAAAAGATCATTTTAATAGATAGAGGGGTGGGTGGGTTGATTAAAAAGTACTAAAAAGTAAAAGGGAGTGTAAGTGGAGAAAATGGGAGTGGGAAAATCAACTCCCATAAATAAATAAAAAAAGGATAGGGGTTAATTGAAAGTTAAATACAAGTTTCGGAGGCAAATAACCAGTTTAGCCTATAAATTTTTAATGGAAAAACTTCTTACTTGATGTTAAAACTTAATTATTTACTAGCCCCTTGATACGTGCTCACGTGGTACCAATTTTCTTTTTTTAACGTGTTTTGATGGCAATTAGAGGTATATACTAATTTAATTACTTTAAAATAGGGTTATTTGCAGCAATGGTCTCTCAACTATACCCGTATTTACAGTTTGGTCACTCAATTCAATTATTAGTTGCAGAGGTCACTCAATTAGGTGTTGTGTTGTACCATTAGTCCCTACCGTCAAGTCTCTCTAACGGTAGGGACTAATGGTGCAACACAACACCTAATTGAGTGACCTCTGTAACTATTTTTTGGAGTTGAGTGACCAAAATATAACTCCGAGTATAGTTGAGGGATCATTGCTACAAATAATCCTGACTGAAAAGTCACATTTGCCCATCAATAATCTAAGAGATGTTTGTCACGTCATCATTTTAAACAGAAAAAGTCATAGACTTGATGGAAGGACTAGTAGTGCAACAAAACACCTACTTGAGTGACCTCTGCAACTAATAATTGAATTGAGTGACCAAACTGTAAATACGGGTATAGTTGAGGGATCATCGCTGCGAATAACCCCTTTAAAATACTTTTATGTTATTTCAAAGAAAAAAAAACATAAAACGTAGATAAATTAAAAAAATTGACTTGTTTTTCAATCTAAATATTAGTAATTTACCATGTTTTTTCCTTGAGTAATTTACTATGTTACCCTTCACATAATATTATGTTTTCTTTTTACACTTAAGCTAAGCGAGTCTAATTTTTGCGTTTTCAAATGTCTTCCTGTTTTGGGATATATATATATATATAGATTAATTGTCAAAACACATGGACTATTTTGGTATTTAGTCTTTACAATGGGTCAAATATTAAAATGTTATGTGTTTTACTAGGTTGGCCATTTGTTTACACATGGACTATTTTGGTATTTAGTCATATTGTCCGTTATGTTAAATGGGCACCAATTGTATTTAGCAAATAATTTATATCTATATATACAAAGCAAAAGGCAAAGAATGGAGAAATTATAGAATAATACGGTATTACCACGTCAGCTGGTAGTACTTCCATTCAAAATTTGACATGTGTATTATTTTTATAAGAAATTAAACTTTTTGTTCCAGCTGTATTTGAAACTCCAATTTTACCCTTTAAATTAAAAATATTAACAGAAATATAAGAGAAAATGTTCCAGCAACAATCGCTCGCCCTCAATCTCACTGTCGTGCCGTCGCTCTGCCTCCCATGGCTGCCGCCCCCATCCTCTTATTTCATTCCTCTGTTTCTGTATTTTTGCAATCAGATCACATCCCATCATTGCCCTTCTCCCCAATTGTGCCAAGCAAGCTCCTTTCTTCAACAAACAATACGGTGTAGAAGACCCAAATCCCATTTCAATTTGTTAATCAGGTGCATAGCAATTTGCCCAATCCTGCAAGCATCAAACCCATAGTAGCAAGTCTTTCAATCACGTTGTGTGTGTTAGACATGAAGATATTATTACGAATTTGGTCACTCCGCCTGCCCTTCGTCTCTTTCCCTGAAACTGCAACTTCTCTTTAACCCATGGAAGCACCTGCAAGATCTCTAATCATTGCAAATGGGTCCATATTCAAACAAAGAGGCTTTAATCATTATCAAATTGAAATACTAATTTACTGAAACATTTGAATGAACATCGAGTAATGGAAAGACAGAGAGGGAGGGCCATCGGGGGATGGTGTCAGTGCGATGGTAGGGGTTGTTTTCATTTTCTCTGTTTTTCTAACAATTTTTTTAATTTTGTTATGAAGGGTAAAATTGGAGTTGCAAATCCAACTGGAACAATAGTTTAATTTCTTATAAAAATAATACACATGTCAAATTTTGAATGGAAGTACTACCAGATGACGTGGTGATACCGTACTATTCTATAATTTCTGGTAAAACATTCAAATTACCAAATGCCCTTTGTTAATGCAAACATTAAGAATTGAAATTGTTAATTAAATGAGGATAATATGGTAAATTCACAATTTTTTATATTTAAAAAAATGAAAATAAAAATAAAAATCAGATAATGGATCCTATTTTTATGGAACACAACTACCCATTATCTTTTTTAATTCTAAAATAAATTTATTTATTTATTTTAAAAATGCCTCTCGCAGGCACGGAAGTGTGTGCCGAAAGGCTAGTTTAATATTAATTAAATAAATTTTATTTGAATTCATTTCATGAATAAAAAAGTAAGAATAAGTAGATAAAAGTTCAGATTTAAAAAATTAAAAAACAAAAACAAAAATAAAAAAATACCCACCATCTCACACCCCTCCCCACCTATTCCAGT